CCGGAAGGAGGAGAGAATGAGAGTAAAGGCAATATTGATGAGATAATGACAGAGAACTTTCTAAAAATGATAAAGAATATCAAGGAACAGGAAAGAAGCCTTGGAAATGTTAAGCACACTAAATAAAAATAACTGCACGCTTTGGCACTGTGATGGTCTGAAATATATATTTAGTCTTCATCCCCATTTCTTGGCACACAGCTTCTAAAATCCATACAATCTCCAAAGGAATGTCTTTTTGTATGCTGATTAATTTACTGATGGCTGGCAGCCCCTCTGTAGCTTCAGGACGGGGGCTAGTCACCACAGAGACCAAGGCAGGACCAGAAGGTTGGGACTGTCAGCCCATATTCATCCTCCAGGGAGGGGAGAGAAGCTGAAGGCTGAGTTGATCACCAATGGCCAATGATTTAGTCAATCATGCCCATGTAATGAAGCCCCCATAAAAACCCAAAAGGACTGGGATCAGAGAGGGCATGGGAGCTCCTTTTTCCCTTCTCCTATACCTTGACTGGTGCATGGCTTCATCTGTATCAGTTGTAATATCCTTTAAAATAAACTGGTAAATGTAAGTGTTTCCCTGAGTCCTGTGAGCCATTCTGGCAAATGAATTGAACTCAAAGATGGGGTTGTGGAACCCTCAACTTGAAGCTGGTCAGTCAGAAGTCCTGGAGGCCCAGACTTGTGCCTGGTAACTGAAGTGGGGACAGTTTTGTGGGACTGAGCCCTCACCCTTTGTGATCGGATGCTTTCTCCGGGTAGACGGTGTTGGAACAGAACTGAATTAAAGGACACCCAGCTGATGTCCACTGCAGATGTGGTTGCTTGCTTTCTAGTACAGAAGAATTCCCACACAAGAAGTGTGTTGTAAGAGTATAGTGGGAGAAACTGTTTTTTTTCTGCCCAGGCACATCATAAGAGTTGAACCGTAGAAAACCAAAGAAAATAATCTTTAAAATGAGCCAAGATTACCTTCAAAGGAGCAGCAATCAAACTGAAGGCCGATTTCTGAACAGTAACAATGCTTACCAGAAGACAATGAAAACAAAGTAACAACCAAATTAGAATTTTCTACTCAGAGAGTATATACTTTAAGAATAAAAATGAAATAAAAATATTTTCAGACAAATGAAAATTGAGAAAATTCTTTAGAGCAGACATTGTGCTAAAATAAATACTAATAGAGAGTGCTCTTCAAGTAGTAGAAAAATAATCCAAGCTAGAAATCAGAGATAGAGAAATTAAGAATAATGAAAATGAAAAGACATGGGAACACATACAAATTAATATTGACCATATACAACAACAATAATCATGTGTACATGAGCTTAGAGTATATATAGATTAAAAGTGATAATAATATAAAATTGAGAAAAAAATATATGGCGTTAAAATGTTTTAATGTCCTTGATTAGTCGAGACCGCAAATTGCAATCTCTAAGCTATACATGAAAAGAATAGTAACAGAATAGCTAACTTCAGAGAAAACAGAGGGAGAAAGGAGATTACAAAAATAATCCAGTGAGGAAAGGGTGTTCTTTTCAAAAATGGACTGGAGCTGACCATATGAAAAAGCAAAAATAAAGAAACTCAGAAACTTGACCCCTACATAAAAATCAATTCCAGGCAGATTGTACTCTACACATGAATGGAAAAACAATAATGCTTCTGGAAGATAATTTAGAAGAATGACTTTATGATCTTGAAGTAGGTAAAGACTTTTAAAACAAAACAACAAAAGCACTAAACAGGAAGGAAAAGATTGACAAAATTTGCTGCATTGAAATTAGAAACTTTTTTCATTGAAAGACATCATGTAGAGAGTGAAAAGACTACATAATGGGAGAAGATACTTGCAACCCATATAACCAACAGAGGTTCATATTTAGATGTAAAGAATTCCTACAATGAATGCAAAGAAACTATCCAATAGAAAAGTGGACAAGGGACTTGAACAGACATTGCACAAAAGAGGATATCCACATGGAGAGGGGACCGGACACACCCACCCCAACCAGGCACACCACGCCTGTGCCTCAGGGCCCATCTGGGGACCAGAGGCATGGAGAAGGGGACCAGACACATCCCACAACCAGGCCCACCGCCAGCACCAAGGAGCATGCCAAAAACATCACCTCCATGTGAGTGGCCCACCACAGCCACAATAACCATGGATGCCATGAAAACGGCTAGACACCACAACCACCACGCAGATGGTCTGCCAGCCACTGGAGTTCATTGACACAAGGAGAGTCACCAGCAGAAATAAAGGAAAGAAGAGGATGTATCTCTCCACAAAGCCCATTTCAGACTGACAGAAGAAGCATCTGCTCTATGATAATATTGGGGGATCTGATCACACCTCTCAGCATTGGACAGATCATCTAGGCAAGAAATTAACAGAGTATCCATTATTCTTTTAGGAGAGAAGAAATCTAGGGTAATTAGAGGGGGGAGGGAGAGAGATTGGACAAGTGGTATAAATAATAGTTATGATTTGTAACAATATATATGCTAGTAATATTGATTTGATCAACATATCTCAATGTTGAACCCCCAAAATATGTATAATCAATTTTGATTCAATAAATAAAATAAATTTTAAAAAGAATGATAACCAAATGGTCAATAAATACAATAAACTAAAAAGGTACTTGACAACATTAGTCATGAGAACCAGAAGTAAATATCACCATATTAGCTAAAACTAAAATTACAGATGATACTGAGTGTTGGCGAAAATTTGGAACAATTAGAACTCTTGTGCCCAGAGGGTTTGCAGGAATGTAAATTGGTAGGCACTCTGGAAACCCATTTGGCATTATCTACTAAACCTGAAGATATGTATATCCTGTGGTCTAGATATTCCATTCCTAGGTTTATACCCAACAAAAATGTGTGTGTTGTTGCATCAAGAGACATATAAGAGAATATTTATGGCAGAATTATTTGTAAAAGCCCCTAACTACAAGATAACACAAAATTCCCATTAATAATAAAATGAATAAATAGTCATATTCATACAATGGAATATGATACAGTAATGAAAGTGAATGAACTACAACCAAATGGAACAAATCTAACAAAAATAATGTATAAAGAAAGCCAGACACAAAGGAAAATATTCTCTATGAGTCCATTTATATAATGTTTAAAATCGAGGCAAAACTGAGATGAGTGTACTGTTTAAGGGTATATGCTTAGGTAATAAAACTAAAAAGAAAAATAAGAAAGTAATTGCCATAATAGTCAGGATAATTGTTATCTTTGGCAGGGGGCAGAGCCTATGGTTGTTGGGAGGGGGCATGAAGGGTGCTTTTAGGGTACAGGCAATGTTTCATTTCTTTACTCTTGTGGTGGTCATATAGGGAAATCTCTTTGTAATAAACACTTCAGCTGTGCTTTTTCATTCATGCACATTTCTGTATGTGTGTTATAATTTATATTTAAAAACAAGGTAGTGGGGCACATAAACCAAACGATGACCTAATACCATGCTGAGAACAGACAAGATACTGATCCTAAATATATAACTGAGACTTCTAATGGTAGCTTCACTCCTTGTTTATAGCCTGAAAATGCATCCATAGGATGTAGCAATAAAAAGTCAAAACGAGGAAATGGAAATTTGTCCCACTTTTTGATGCCTATTCAACTTTGGCCACTTTCCAATTGCTTGAAGATTTGAGAGTTTTATAGGCATTCATCATTACAGGTCAGCTTTGATTTAAAAATCTGACTTAAAGGAAGATCTTGGAAGACAAACACTTTCTGAAAAAGTTGTGCTTCATATATTTGCAGCATGGAGTTAGGACTCATATTGTGGCTACTACAAACGAAAGAAAATCTGAACGAACATCTTCAAACAACATTCGCTGAAATATTCATTACATTGAGTCCTCAGAGATATTTGCAAGAATTCTTTCAAGTTATCATACCAAAATGCAAGATGGGTTTTCTTGCTTTATGTCAAGAGGTCAGAAACAAATCCTTCTCACTCCTTATGTTCTAGTTTTGAACCTTTAAGCTGCTGCATTTTTTTTCCTGACAACTATAGTTTTATTTAAGTGCTGAAATTGTCATGAAAAGAAAAGCTTTACAAGAAAAATTTGAGTTCATGAGATTGTATCCTGGTAATAAGAACCAGTTGTCCTATTGGCGAGTGACATCAAATTGTCTTGACATATGAGAATATTCTGAACATCTAAATTGCTACCATAAATCCAAAACTCAATATATTTAACTTAAAATTGATAATGGCATGTTGGTTCTGCTGACACTTTCCTGGTCATCCCACACCTCGTAAATGCAAATTTTATGTATAGCTTTAATATAATACACATTTGTTGAGCTTCCACCATATGGACTTGAAAATATCAGTGCTGGCAAATTCAGCCCCTATGAACACGACATATATGAGGGAAGACACACACGCACATACACTTGACCACGGATTAAAGGTCTCCCCTGTGCTTGGTACTATGCTCTGCTCAACACTTCACATCTGCTCTAATCTTCACAATGACCTTGCAAGGTGGCCGTTTGTTATTGTCTTTTAAGAGAAAAGAAAGTTGGGGTTCAGAAAGATTAACTCACACCCCTAAGGTCACAGAACTGAGTGACAATGATTGTGGAAAAGCAAAAAACAGTTTTACTCCATGACTTCCAGACACATCACAAATACCTTGTTTTATTGCTTATGTATCTCTCACTAAGCTGTATATTTGCTTTGACTCAGTGTACTTGTGTATACATGAATACATAAGGATATATTTACTTTTCTAAATGGAAATCAAGGCTAAATCTGTACTACTACAGAATGGGGGAGTGATTTGTCCATGACTTGCACAGAAAATAAGTATTTCCTAGGCAACAGAGAGATCTCTGTAAGGAAAAGGCAGGGGCTGGATCCTGGTGGTGTTTTCCTTTGAAATGCTAGCAAAGGGGAACTTCAGAGAGAGCTCGTGGGGTGGCTGAAATGCAGTACACCAAGTTCCTACCTTCTGATTGATTTTCATCGTCTCTTCGGTGTGGTAGAGAAGGAGCTTTTCCCCGGAAGAAGTCAGGTTAACGTACACCTGGAGGCAGGGGTACTGAGAGAGTTTCCAGCAGTCTGGACCACAGCTGAAGGAGCAATTAAATGTTTCCGTGATGGATGCATTCAGCAAGGTGCACTGAGATTCTTCTGTCCACACACTACAGGGAAAGGGGCGAGAGGAAACACAGGCATGATTGGAGGGGATCATTTCTCAGCTCCTGGACTTGAAGAGTCATTTCCAAAATCTATGCTACAACCTACTTGTGTACAGTTTATGACTTGGAACAGAGCAGCTTTAGGCAAACTACAACATAACATAGACAGCCTGGCACCTGAGAACTTTTTCAATGACTTCCATTTGGTTATAATATTCTCCAATCTTGATTTTTTTCTTTCTGTGTTTGAATTCACTGGCAAGCATAGGGCATGTTTTTATTTATTTATTTATTTTTATGTGCAATTTTTTTTTTTTTTTTTTGTGGCTGTCCAGTTTGGGGATCTGAACCGTGTCCTCGGTGTTATAAGGCTGTGCTTTAACCAACTGAGCTAACCAGCCAGCCTTAGGGCATGTTCTTAAATCCTAGCCTGTACTCAGCCTGGATTTCTACATTATAAGCAGCTTCTTGCCATGTCTTATCTCTGCTATGTTTTATTTTGTACTTCTTCATCCCAACCCCCACCCCAGCCCAGTTTGCAGGCACAGAAGATGTGAGGGAGAAGGCGCAGGAAGATGGCAAAGGGGTGAAGGAGTTTGGGGTCCAGCTTGACAGATGGGAAGACAGTAATGTAGTGCCTTTAAGGTTTTTCTCATTAGGGACAAAAGCTAACAAGTTGATTATACCAACAGCAATCACTTATTG